GGCGGGCGGGCCGCGAAGCGGGCAGCGGGCGGGCGGGCGGGCTGCGAAGCGGGCAGCGGGGCGAGCGGGCTGCGATGCGGGCGGGCCGCGAAGTGGGCAGCTAGCGGGCGGGCGGGCTGCGAAGTGGGCGGGCCGCGAAGCGGGCAGCGGGCGGGCGGGCGGGCTGCGAAGTGGGCGGGCCGCGAAGCGGGCAGCGAGCGAGCGGGCTGCGAAGCGGGCAGCGAGCGAGCGGGCTGCGAAGCGGGCGGGCCGCGAAGCGGGCAGCGAGCGGGCGGGCGGGCTGCGAGCGGGCGGCTCGGCGAGGGGCGCGCGAGGGCGCTAGTGAAGGGGCGCGCGAGGGCGCTAGCAAGGGGCGCGCGAGGGCGCTAACGAAGGGGCGCGCGAGGGCGCTAACGAAGGGGCGCGCGAGGGCGCTAACGAGGGGCGCGCGAGGGCGCTAACGAGGGCGCACGAGGGCGCTACGAGGCTAGGGCACGGGGTAGCGTGGTAACCGCAGCGAGCGGTGGTGGGCCCTTAAAAAAAAAACGGTCGGTAGGTCCTAGGGACCTCCTGCTCTGAATACCATGTCAGAATCACTAGGCAAGAATGATGAACTAGCAGAAGTTTGGGTACAAATATGAAACCCTAGTTGGGGTTGTACCCCATATTGGCTACCCCACTACAGCCTACAAGCATAATACAGTTTAACATCACCGTCAAGCGAAGGCCCCGTGAAAAGCGGTACTGAAGAAGACCCCATAGCTGAACGAAAACAACCGTCCACAAGAATGCCTCCCACGTTACCTGCGTGTACACACAATTCGTATTAATGAATTACAAAAAACAATCAAATGCTAAGATAAGCTGAAACTGGTCATATTATACAATGATAACACAACTTGAACATAATAAAAAAAGGTGAAATTTGATCTAACAAGCAAAAAATGTAAGTTTCTTCTTAAAAATTTATTACTCATTACAAAGTAATACAATAGAATAAAATCAAAACACAAAACAACTCACTACAGCGCTCTCTGCAATGCTAGAATAGTTCGGTGCAGTCAAATTTATAGCTGATGGTTCTGCAAGAAAATAAACAGCACAGGTAACACATTGTTTAAAGATAAAAAATTCAACATTAAACAACAACATTACAATTTATCCTTCTAATTTTTTATGTAGGTAGAAATTTCATTACATAGTGCAACGTAACAACAACTATCCAAAAACTACTCTGATCCTCCACACATTCTTTCATTAGTGATAGAACCAACCTCCGGTATTATACCTTAGGAAACAAAAGTAACAATTCCAAAGAAAAGCGTATAAACACTGGCATAAATGAAAAATTACAGAATCATATGTTCAACACTATTCAGAATATGTGTTACGGAATCACATACTTGAATTGCAGACAGTGGCTCAAGAAAAGCTTCTCAACGAATTGAGAACCAAAATTTGTCAGAATATCTGTAAAAACAAAAAAAAACAAGCAATAAAACATCACATTAGTTGATGCTTTTAAAAAGCTCATCATACATGACACAAAATTATTTTTACATAGTTGCAGTTACAACTCACAATCCTAACTGCACATTGGAATCAGTTGAAAATGGAAACAGATCAGAACATCTAGATGTAAAAAAAAACAATAGCTTGAATGGATGATGTTACCTCTCGGGATCCCCAATAGAACCTTCAACCACAAACACAAAGAAAAGCAGAAGCATAAACAAAAACAGAGAGGAAAGAATAAAGACAGAGAACATGGGGTAGTACTATAAACGTGGATATGATGTTGACGGCAGCCTAAACACAAAAGAACAAACAAAAGATGAGACAAGTGAGGTTTGCAGCAAGTAAAAAAGGCATGAGAATCAAAGACACAATGACAAGCAGAAACATCTAACTGCATAGAAAAAAAAATAACAATAAAAAACTCATTTGACACTATGATATACATACCCGACCTCTTTCTGGAGAACAAATCAGATCATCTCAAAATCAAGGAGAAGATTAGACTTGTTGAAATTCCTGTGCAACTGGAAGTTGATAAAGAAAGAGCAATGCATTGAAACCATTCAAAAACCATATTCTTTCAAAAGTGACAACACAACAAAGATTTGAAGACAAATGAAAAAATACACATCATACACGTCTTTGAATCCAGCAGGGAAGCTTTCTTCTTGAGCGACTGAAAGACACAAACACGGGATTCGACATGGGGAAGCAATCAATGTAAGGTAATCAAGCTAAGAAAAACTATAACGAAGAATATGTTTAAACTTAGCTTCAGAAACAGAAAATGGTGGAAAAAATAATATTAGAGACACTTCATAGATGTTCTGGAAAGTCAGAGCATAGAATCTTACCTATAAACGCACGTAGGAAGTGGCTTGGCTTGAAGATCTAAGGTAGAAGAACAAGAGCTCTAAGAAACTTGTGAGAAGTTGAGATTGAGATGAGTTTGAGAAGTTGAGGAAGCTCTGAAGTTGTCAAACCCAATGGGAGAAGACTTGTTTGAGCAGGAAGGGAAAGATGGGTGCTTTCCCAGAAAACGTTTTTTTTTTTCGGTGTGAAAACTGCCCTTGAGGAGTCTATCATTAAATGTATCATGAAATTTGCTCACATGTTGGTGCACAATCCTTAACTTGAACTATTTTTGTTGCCCAACTGTCACTTATCCAAAAAGTTGTTTTCAGTGGAGAGAATCAAATGGTCCTTTCTGATGTTATTTTGTCACTCAGTGGAGAGGTGAGCTTGCTTCACTCAATACAAAACCCGCACATGGCAATAGCTAAAACTGTTACACTTCAGGACAACTTGACCTTTGTAATTTGTGGCACTTGAGATTGCATGGCAGCTGCATTTGAAACAGTTATAATATGATCTTTCTAGAATCAGATCAGTGCTGAATTTTACAGTTACTACCGTAGAAAATGACACCTTGAAACCGCGTCAACAGTGGCCACAGCTGGCAGAAACAAACGAGTCAAGTGGCTTTGAGCAGTTTTAATAGCTGTAAAAAAGCTGTCATACAACCGTTTTGACAGCTGTCAAAAAGCTGTGGTGTTTCTAACTGTCGAAGCAGTTAGAAACACTTGTGGCAACCTTGCAACCACGTGATGAGATTGCGGGCTGACCTCAGCACCGTCGCCTGAAATTTCGCGCGCAAGAAATTTCGGGCTGACGTCAGCAGGGACGCCCGAATTTCGTGCGCGAGAAATTTCAGCTGACGTCAGCTGCGTCGCCCGAGATTTCGCGCAAAAACAATTGCAGCTGACGTCAGCTGTCTCGCTCGAGATTTCTCGGGACTTTCCAGCTGACGTCGGCTTTCCGGATCGGAAGTTTCCGTGTAAGCCCGAAGTGACGCTGCTGACGTCATCCGAATCAAACGCGCGATAAAGATAGCAGCACTCTCTCTAGTGAAAACGATTGATAACTGGTAATATGAAAAACATATATACAACTATTTCTGTTTGAAAACTTCTATTATTCCTTTATCCTCATGTATACAAACCATCATCCTCATTTTGGTTTCAGGTTCAACATAAAAAAATCATAATACAAAAATATTATACAAAACCGAGTTTCATATCAAAACATAAAAGAACACGCATTTTATTTAAATCCAAATATAACAAACAGATTAACGTCTCTCAAACTTCAAACGCATGTTAAAAATTGTTGCTTCGCAACCCTAAGACGATTTCGTCGCCTCTTGTTTTTTTTTTTTTTAGGTAATTGATATGTACACCGAACAGAACAAGCATACATGATCAATAACAGTCGTAACTGTGCATGAGGGGAGGCCCCACGGCCGCCCCAGGTGTGGCCTCTAAGGAGGTCGGTGAGTCATCCTCGGTGCAATCCAGACATTTGCAAATGCGTTCGTCCACGTCCACGACTTGCGATTTTTGTCCCTGATCCGAAACAGCAGCTTGTCCTCTTGTTCCATTGTGCGACTGAAATTTCTCCTCCTGACGTGTACCCTGACACTTCCTCCACCTCGTTTCTCTTGTCCGCGTGTACAACCTTGCATGAAGCCGAAAGGCCGTTTCGACCCTCCGGAGCACCTTCCTCGCACGAAACCTTTGCCCCCGAAAAACAGCATCACACCGCTCCAGCCACAGCTGATGAAGCGTGATTGACGTAATCGTGGCTTCCGAAAAAGCTGAGCTGGACCCTGCGTTCCGAAACAGCAGGTCCCCAAGAGACGACACCTCGCGTGAGGCGTTCATCAGGCGGAGAGTTTTCAGGAGCGCCAAGAGCACTGGCTGTATCTTCGGGCAACTGTAGAGACAGTGCTCGAGGGTTTCTACCCCGCCGCAATAAGGGCAGACCGGTTTGCTGCTCAGAAACGCCACCCGCTCCCCAACCTGCAGATTGAGATTGTGGACCCGTAGCAGAAGGTCCCTCGGTTTGCTTGGTGTGACCAGTGAGTCCCGAATGGCAATAGTCCGCTTCCAGTTTATCTGCCCGCTCCATCTATCCTTCCACAGTAACTGCTTCGCCGATGGCTTCTGCCCCTCCCGCCAAAGCAACTTCAACCGCTTCAGAGGCGCAACCCCCCCGCCCTCGAAGATGGGGAAATCGGAAAGGTTGCGCCCCACAGAATGATGGATACTCCGAACCCCAGCCGATGCACCCCCCTGAGAGTCCTGAGCGGGCGCAGAGAGCAGTAACTCCCTCCATCTCTGGGGAGCAGCATCGAAAGCCTTCAGCGCTAGCTTAGCGGAAGCTTTCCCTCCCAGCTCCCTCTCCAGTACAGCCAAGGGTTTGAGTGCAGGAACCCCAGACTCGCCGATTGCTAGCAGATCACCCAACCTTCGCTCCCACAGCAGCTCCGCATCCCTCTGCCCGCCAATCGGCGTTGTTCCTTTCAGCAAAATACGCTTGTTGAAGACAACGCGCTCCTTTTCCACCGCTTCACGAGTGCTTGCGTCCGGAAGATTACCTAGCGGCGTTTTCATAAAGTTCTCGACCGCCACCTTCCAGCGGGGACTCTTCCCCTCCCAGTGTCAAAGCAGCTTCTCATGAGCAAAGAAGGATTCGATCCCCATGGGCAAATCCGCCACCCGCGTCATGAGATGCTTTTTCAGCACGTTCGTCTCCAGCGCCAGTAAACCCACGCGGCGAGCCGTGAGACACGCCAAGATCATCTCCGGGTCATGCAGGCCCACACCCCCCAGCTTCCTTGGAGTGTGAAGCAGATCTTTGCTCCAGAGCCGAAACACCGTGTCTGACGTTGCCTTATTTCAAGAGACGAAGTTGTACAAAGTCTTTGAGACAGTGCCCCACAGCTTCGCTGGAGGCGGGTAGACTTGTGCTTGAAACGCTGCTTTGGGCATCGTATAACAGTTAACCACCGCCGTCCTTGCCACTGTTGGAAGGAATTTCTGTTGCCACTTGTTAATCTTCCCTGTCATTGCCTCTGCAGTTTTTTCCCACGTTGGCAGGCAGCTTCCCGAGGGAGTGACCCAAACCCCCAGCAGCTTCTCCGCTTCATCCGCCTTCGCCCAACGGAACCCGTTCGCCCGACCAGTCGTTCTGCCGAGATTATTTCCCAACGGTAAGATAACCGACTTGTCCCTGTTAGTCGCTAGTCCCGAGGTCAGTTCAAACTTCGCTAACACTTGCTCAGCCCTGATGATCTGCTGCTTCCCCTCCAGGATCAAGGTGGTATCATCCGCGTAGCCGATATACGCCAACCGCTCGCTCTCCTTGCAGATGCCCAATTTTCGCTTCAGGACCAGCTGTGCCAAAGGCTCAACCGCACACAGAAAGAGGTACGGAGCCAGGGGACAGCCCTACCGGACCCCCGAAATCACCTCCACACCGTCTCCCATCCAGCCATTGACTAACAGGCTTGTCTGCGTTCCCGCATGCAGGCCTTCCACCCACCGCACCAACTGTTCAGGAAATCCCATCACCCGAAGCGTTCGGAAGAGATAGCCACGGGAGACAGAATCAAACGCCTTCTTGAAGTCAACCAAGAGGAGAAACCAATCCTCATTGTCATTTCGCTCCGTGTCAATGATATCAGCCACAAGCCCCACTGCATCCGTCAGCCGCCTCCCCGGGAGAAAGCCATACTGCTCCAGTGAGATCACCCGACTCAGAAACTTCTTCATCCTGTCAGCCACAACTCTCGCCAGCACCTTGTAAGTGAAGTTGAGGAGAGTGATGGGGCGGTAATTGTTGAGCTGATCTTTGTCCCCCTTTTTGTGCAGAAGTATCGTTACCGCTTCCTTCACCTCCGTCGAGAGGAGTGCTGTTGATGCGAAATCCTTTGCTAAGGCCGTGAAACCTTTGCCCAACAAATCCCAGTGTGCTTCAAACCGTTCCTTTGGCAGGCCATCCTTCCCCGGCGACTTGTTCGCCGCCATCGCACCGAAGGCTTTCTTAACTTCTTCTTCCGTCCAATCCGCCGCCAGTTCCTCTGCTTCCCAGCTTCTCAGCTTTTTATCCGATGCAGGACGCCAGTCATCTTCCAGTTGACCCCGGTCCCGCCCGAAGATGTCTGCGAAGAACTCCGATGCTGCACGAAGAATGCCTTGGGAGTCAGAGACAACCCCTGACGCCGTCTGCAGCTCTGCAATCTGAGTACTCGCTTTCTTAGCCTGCACCAGCGCCGTCAAATGCTTTGACGCCACCTCCCCCCGAAGCTCCAGCCGCATCCCAGACATCAGGAACTGCTTGTCCTTTCTCGACGCTTGATACTCACGCAATTGCGCTTCCTTCACAGCTAACCGCTCGCTTGTTGGTTTGCAGGACGGATCCTGTATCATGGCCTGACAGAGCTCCGCCACCTCATCCGCCAGATGAGTCACCGTCGCTTTCACCCGCTTGCCATCTTCTCTGGCGAACGCCCGAAGCCCAGCCGCCAGCCGCGAAAGAAGCAGTTCGAAGCTGCTACCATCAGTGACAACACAATTCTCCACCGTCGCTTCCACAATCCGCCGAACTCCAGGCTTGTGGACCATAGACGCGTGGAGCCTCCAGAGACCGGGACCAAGACAGATCTTGGCATCAATCCGAAGAGCCATCCGTATCGCAAAGCTGTGATCAGAGATGTACTCCACCGGCATCACATGAGAAGCTTGAATCAGGTGAGGTAAGAGAGAGTGGGAGATAAGAGCCCGGTCGATGCGCGTGCTGGCCTGCATCGCTTGAGAAAAGAAGGTGAACTCCCGTTTTCTAGGATATAACGTGCGGAAAGCGTCGGAGAGCTGGAAAGCGGTACAACGGTTAAAAAGTCTATCGTTTTCCACGGATGAGCCTACGCGTGACGACTTATCTAACAACGGATCCTCTATGATATTAAGATCGCCGATGATGAGCAGGTGGTTGGACGGCGGGATCAAGTCTACTACCGGGCCAAGGGAGTCCCGAAGAAAAGCCGCACGGGAAGTCGCATTGGCCGGGAGGTAACAAGCTATGACGGTAAGATGCAGCCCGAGGCCATGGACTTCCGCGGACACTAATCGGCCGGTCGGGTGGACTACTACGCTGGAGAAACTAAGGAGCGGTGAACGGCATAGAAGAGCTACACCGCCAGCCTTCGTCCTAGGTGAGGTAGCTGCTGCTAAACTGAAGGTCGGGTGAGACCAGAAAGGATGGTCAGATGCTAATCTAGTGTCAGAGAGGGCAATGATGTCAGCTGCTTGTCTGGACCAGTCAAGTACTCGCTGCTGCTTAGTCTTATCTCCTAGGCCGTTGACGTTAAGGCCTGCGAAACTGATGAGACTTTTTTTACTCATTTGATAACAACTTGAGAACCCCCACGCATCCACACGGTTAAGAAGAGAACGGCACTAACTACTGAGAGGGCTACCGCTGACGCTGCTGCCTTCCGACTGAGCTGCTCTTGCCTTAAAACCCATACTCCTTCTTCGTGACGTTGAGACTGGCGCGCTCGAGCGAGGCACGAGTCGCAGAACCGAGCTTCTCCAGATGGATGAGGTGATTCGCCGAGGTGACGTGTTCCGCTGCAGTCATGAAGCTCTTCCCTTTCGCCTTCCCGCAACCCACTTGCGTGCAGAGCCATTCTTCCCGGTTCCCTCCAGTGGAGATCAGTACCATGGCCGGATCCAGCAGGATAGGAGTTATCAGCGGTGATGCCGGAAGAGACGCAGCTGCAGAATACGACTTGGCAGTTAGCACAAGAAAAAGTAAGAGAGCAGGTGAGAGCAATCTGAGAAAGGTGAACCCTTCCCAAGGTAAGATTCCACTTCCCTATGTTGTTTTGCCGCTCTGTAATGAAAGCATCATGATTGACGTCATAATGCTGTCCACCGCAGAGCAGGCAAGACAGCGCAGGAAAGTGGACCAAGAAGCGGCGACCGAGCTCCAGAGGATCCTCAAACACATGACGCCAGCGGTAGCGGTCGCCAGGGTGAGGGATCACGAGGCCCTTAACGACGTCAGTATCAGCACCAGTGACGGGATGCAGAACACGATGGAAACAGACGCCATCCTTGAAGGCCGACTGCCGCCGATTCCGCAGCTGGTAAACCACCATCAGCTCCCGCAACATCTCCGGGGTCTTCGTTGCAGATACGTCGCGAATCACCACTTCAACCGCTTGCTTGTTCGTCGCACGCTCGCGCACAAAAGCAGGATCATCCGTGTGCTGCCAGTAGAGCCGGAAGACCGTGCCGTTAGGACGCGTGTAGTCAACTTCCTTGGATCTGATACTCATTATGTCTTCCTCGCGCAAGAGGGAGACCAGCAGACGGCTGTAACGGGTCTTCGCCACATACGCCGGTAGCAGCTCCTGAAACTTCGCCGAATCGACCGCACCATCAGAAAGCGTTGACGACCAGACACGCCGCATCAGGGTTCGCACCGTGGTGATGATGGAAGCGACCTCTAGAGCAAGAGCCACGGGGATAAGCACGATCGCCGTATGACGAACACGGTTGAACGCCTCCGTCCTGACGTCGACTTTAAGCTCCTCGTCAGAATCATCTTCAATGAAGCCACTGTCAGGAGGCGCCGTACGAAGAGAGCTCAACTTCTCCTCCAAGGAAAGTCCAGAGCCACTTGCAGGTGCATCAGGGATTGTCACATTAACTGACTCCTCCGGAACCTTGTCCTTGCCTTTGTCAGCAGGAACAGAAGAAGCGGGAGCGGGAGCCGCGACAGGCGCATCCACAGAAGCCGAAGGAGCTTCCAGCGACGAGACGTCTGGCAGGGTCTTGGCCTTTCCCTTAGGTGCCATGGTGCAATGATGAGGACGAGAAGGCTGGAAAGCTTGGAAACAGACGTCAGATGTCTGAACTGATGCCTCAACTCTGAGCACCGACGTGTTAAATAGGAGAAATCCAGAGGCTGCAGACCATTGTTCTTGGTGTTGGTGATGAGAAACCGAGGTAGACGCCTCGGGATCCGTGTCTGTAATAGACTTGATAATGATACCGTAGACACTGTTAGACCACGCGATGCTTAAAACTAGAGTCCGAAGCCTAGGAGTTAGCAGCAAACCAAAAGGAACCTTGAAGTTAGTTGCCTGACAGGAAACCAGATCTCGTATACCGAAAGATACAATGCCCGACGTGTAGGCATAAAGCAGTATCGATCGATGCGCCTTGTAACGAGGAATCCAGATCCGAAGTCTTTAAAGTCAACTGACACAGAACCTTCACGGGATCTAGGTTTGAAGCTGCGCGACAATATCCATGGCGGACACATGGCGGAAACCAGAACCCCACAGTCCTCAAGCATGGACAGCTGCAGTTCGGGGCCCCAATCTGATCAATTCCCGATCTGCTTCGAGGAGAACCTAGAAAGATCGTGCCTTGGTAGCATGAAGGGACGTGCTTGTTGCCTTCGTTACACGCTCACTTCAGCTTGTTGTTCGGCTTATGACGAAACAAGCGCGAATTGCCAAACTTGTCGCGAGTATTGTAATTTGTGTCGTCAACTCCAGTACTCACGGGGAAATTTCGAGACAAGCATCGCATTATGTTACCATGTGGTGCCACCGTCCAGTCTCGAGTCTGCCAATCAAGGTGAAGAACTGAACCCGGTAATTTGTGTCGTCAACTCCAGTACTCGCGGAGAAATTTCGAGACAAGCATCGCATTATGTTACCATGTGGTGCCACCGTCCAGTCTCGAGTCTGCCAATCAAGGTGAAGAATTGAACCCGGTAATTTGTGTCGTCAACTCCAGTACTCGCGGAGAAATTTCGAGACAAGCATCGCATTATGTTACCATGTGGTGCCACCGTCCAGTCTCGAGTCTGCCAATCAAGGTGAAGAACTGAACCCGGTAACAAATTGGACGAAATCAACTCATCGTCAGTCGTCGAAACTAAAATCCCCACCCATCCCCCCACCCCCTTTCCCCCGCTCGCAGCCCCATCCTAGCCGCCTTGTTCCCGCTTCGAGCGCATAGTGCGGCAATCTCGAAGAAGAAAATGGCGGACGTGAATCATGGCCATGCGCGGGCGTGGTTACCCGATTAGGTGCAGGATTTTTTTCCCGTCCTCCTCGACCAAGCCCCCGCTACTCCTAGAATTCTCAAATTGAACTTTTTTTGCATTCTGTTAGAGCCGGAATACACATTTAAGGCGGCTCGAGAAAAAAAGTATAACCTAGCCAATCCAGCAGATCTAGCCGTCTCGTTTCTGTGTTCGCAGGCTCTCTCCTCCAGTAGCCTTTCTTCTTTAGCGTCTTCGCAACTTTGAGAATAAGTCTCTTCGGATAACGCCGTTTGGAATTCCGGTTTGGAAAACGCAGCTACAAATCCCCACTAGCTATCCAAGATAGCGTCAGCCTTTTTCCCGCCTCTCCCTACCCCCGCTTCCCCCTCCTCTTCGATTTCTCCCCGCTTCGGCCTTTCCCCCTCTTATCCTCGGTTCCGCCGTCCAGGCGACGCCCTGGCTGTAACATATCGAATCCCACCAACCCAAGTCTCGATACATTGAACCTGGGTTGGGAAGAGAAAGGGGAATTGAACTGGTTGGAAATCGGGGAAACGAACTGGTTGGCAAGCCAACCAATCAGAACACTTTTATACAAAGTGAGTCGAGAAGTTTCCCGCCGCTGGTTGGAGTTACAACCAATCACAAACATTCGAAGTCCAACACAACTCTTGCGTTGGAATTGCAACCAGTTGAAACATGACAGGTAGGGATAACATATTACATACACAGCATTTTATCCCTTTGTTTGTGCCATGTCATTGAGTAACCTTTGCCACATGGGCAAGGCCCATGGTGGTGCACCCTTCCTTGCCATGGGGAAGGTGGCTGCACCCCAAGGGGGTCTAGGGAAGGGGTCTGAAGCCTTTGGGCTCATTCTCCATTTCCTACTCCCAACTAATCAATGGGGAAATGGGATCTTCTCTTCTTCAACTCCTCCTCCACAGTTTGTGACTGCATCTCCTAGCTCTTTCTAGACTTAGTCATTTTCCAGGAGCTGCTACTCTCTGGTTGTGTTAGAACCTATTATTAAGTGGGTAAATGCCTTTTTTATTATCAGAACCGTTACATTGGTAATCAGAGCTATTAGTAGATCCTCGCCTTGTGGGCATATAAGAGGATTTTGTGGATTTTTTTTTCTTGGATTAATTGTGATTGTATTGCAATTTCTATTATAAAGTTTTTGAAGACTACAAGCTCAAGCTCAAGTTTTCAAGACTTTGAAGCTTCTCCAAGAGTTCTCAGCCCTCCCTCCCTCCCTGCTGGTGGAACCATTGGAGCTACTGTGAAGGAGTTGCAACCTGTGTGTATTAACATTCTCTGTTGAAGACAATCACTTTGTGATTGTTCTTGCCTTATCCACTGCGGTGGTAAGGATATTTTGCAACAGAGGTGTTTTTCACATTGCTGTGGTTGTAAGATCTATTGAAGAAATTTCTCCTTTGGAGAAAATCTTGGTTATTCACTGCGGTGATAACAATTTGCAGTAGATCTGTAACTCATTTTTATAATACAGTGACTTGACTCTCAATGGCTTCTACCAACTCCAATGCTGGAGGTGTTGAAGGGAACAACTCCCAGGCTGAACTGGAAGCTTGTGTGCAGAAGATTGACCTCAACAACATGGATGATGAAATGGCTGAAAAGGAACCTGCTGAAAATTCATCTGCTAAGGACCCTGCAGCTGCTGAAAATTCCAAGGAACAGGAAGGGGAGTCTCAGGGGGATGATATTGAGCTGGATGGCGAAGAGGATATTCTGCATGCTGAAATTGCTAAGCTGCAGGATCACGCTGCTGAGCAGGATACGCGCATCCAGCAGCAGCAGTCTCTCATCTCCACGCTCAGGGGGGAGCTCTCTGACCAGGACAACAAAATCAAGTACCTGGAAGTTGAGCTCAAGAACCCCAACAAACAAGGTGCCCAATGACAAATAACAAAAAAATAGGACTACAAATTGACATACCATGATTTCCATCCTTGCTTAAGTCTGACTGTCCCATCACACTCCCTCGCCTCACCGTCGCCTGCGACGAAACCAGCGACAATCGCGCTGCTTCCATCGCCAGTGGCACCGCGTTCGCCTGCAGGCAGCATCAACCGCCCGCGGTACGCATTGAAACACCAACCCCAGTCGCGGCATGCAGCTTAGCGAAGTTGAGCTCGCAGAGTGGGGTGAAGGGGGAAACGACCTTTTGCCTGCGCGGGGCAATGGGGGGAACAGAGGAACGGGAAGCGGGATAATATAAATTACTATCTGGTTATGCAAGTGTATGAGTAGTCAGAGGCAAATACAAGACTACTAGTAGGAACCGAAAACGTCTGAAGTGAGCTACCAGGAACCCAGACATAAAGAACGTACATGTCTAAGAAGGAGAGAAGGTACTACCGAAAGAGTCGATTGATGAGGTGGTTGGGTTGACTAGTTGTGGTTGTGTGGTGTGCACATTCTAGCTCTAGCAACAAGATCGTGAGGACGTGTGCGTTTTTCGGGCCAGCTGGCAGGTGTGCATGACAGGTGGCGCGAAGTTGTTGTGCCTTTCAGATAACGCTGAGTTGGCGCTAATCTGTGGGGCACAAAATTTTCGCCATCACTTCGATCGATTGTTCTGTGGGAAGGGGGGGGGGGAGAAAGCGGGGGAGGGGGGGTTGGGGCGTTTGACTTACGAAATTGGTGAGATTTCGTAGCAGTTACATGTGTTTCGTAGGGCGCGCGCTATAAACAGACTCAGAAATATGCCATTGACGTTTGAAACCCTCAAATGTAGACTAAATCGTTGCATTTGATTCGGATATACTTAAACCAGTAATACTAAAATACCCTCTGTCGATGTTGAAATATAAAAAACCCCTTTCCAATTAATCTAAATTCATCATATCCATTGACTAAATGTAAGAATTCAATCATGGACAAAAATAAAATATATCACTATTACAATGCACCGTCGCCAAGAATCGAACTCGTGAGCTTTCGGACCGTCAAGATTTGAGTCCACTGGGTCACTCCCACACAACACCCTATGGGAATGACACTTTCGGGACATTTTGGGCAGGGCAGCCCGAGCGGAGCAGGGGGCGTGCGTCACTGGTGAGGACAGATTTGGGACGAATCACCTTTGGGACACTGAACACACCGTCCCAAAATTTCCTTTCGGGACACAGGACATTTCTGGGACAGATTCGGGAAGCCTCGAAGTTGCTTGCGGGGAGGTCATTTTGGGGGGAGAGGTTCGGGACGTCAACATCTTGGTGATGACAGTACAAGCAAAACCTACAGTAAGTGTGGAAACGTAGGCACAAGGCCCAACAAAGTACAAAAGCACTGATGATCACCAGACGGAAGTGCCTTGGTGAATATATCAGCAGTGTTGGCCCGAGTGGCCACGTAAGCAAGATGAAGCTGACCACGCTGCTGCAACTCTCGAGCTAGGAAGTAACGCAGAGCGATGTGCTTCGTTTTGTGCTCCAGTCTGTGCTCCTGACACAAGGCAATGGCGGCCTTGTTGTCGACGTACAGAACTAGAGGAGAACGAGGCCTCTCTCCCAAATCAGTCAGCATGTAGGTGAGCCAGCGTAACTCCTGTGCAGCCATGGCTGTGGCATAGATCTCAGCCTCACAACTGGAGCCGAGAACTGACGAAGAGCGAGTAGACCGCCAAGAAACAGAGCCAGAGCCAAGGCTGAAGGTGTAACCCTGCGACGACCGCTGAGTAGCCAGGTCGTCAACCCAAGAAGCGTCTGAGTGCCTAGTGAGGACAACTGGACTCCGCCCTCCAAGCACGAGCCCCATGCCTGA